TGTGGTTCCTAGAGTTTCCAAAAGCAGAATGGGAGGAAGATCTTTCAGTTATCAGGCTCCTCTCTTGTGGAAAAAAACTTCCCGTTTCTGTCCATGAGGCTGACACTTTGTCCAGTTTTAAGACTGGGCTTAAGACTTTTTCCTTTTTGATAAATCCTATAGTTGGGGTTGGCTTGTTATGCTGCCATAGGCTTAGATTACTGGAGAACAAATTGACCTAATTTCTTAAAAAGAATTGTTTCAATTGATCGGTTTTCATTTGATATTATTTCTATTTTAACATGTGATTCTCAACCTGCCATTGTGTTCCTCCTTCCTGTTCTTCTTAAACCCAGCTGGTCGAAGCAGCTGGCCGCTGGTTCTGCTAAAGGTTTCTTCCTCATGAGGGAGTTTTTCCTTTCCACTGTTGTCTTCATGCTTGCTCAAGATGAGAATCTGCAGTGAAATTAAACTCAAAGCAGTCTGCTCCTCAGATAAATAATGTTATTAAATTACTTTTTCTATATGAATGTTTTCTGTGCAGTGTCCTGAGATGACTTCTGTTGTGACTTGGTGCTATATAAATGAACTGAAATTAATTGAATACAGCTTAGACATTAAATTACTAACAGTTTTACTGAAAATAAACTTTGCTTTCTACAAGCACAGACAGTATTTTACCCCAAAACCTTGCTTTCATTGAACCCAACACTCTTAACCTTAGTTTAGTTTTTCTGGAACATATGAAAAAATAAAAAGCAACAAAAGTGCAATATTACTAAAAATATATTGTACTGTAAATTATACAATGTTTACAACATAACTCATTGTTTGAATTGAGTAGAAAGAAGTATAAATTCTAAAATTTGTCTTTATATCAACATTATTTGTTTCACCACGTTGGCTTATTTATGATTCATTATATAGTGTATAAACACTTGTTAATTTACATTTTAAACTATGTCGCATAGTTCACCATGAACCACCATGGTCCATTTTCTTCCTGCCTCAAGATGCTGTTCTTCTGAGCAAGTTCTCCCCAGCCTCTAACCTCTTGGTTTGTTTGTATGAAAGAATAAAAAAAAACTCCACAGCAGACATGGAAACGGTTAGGTGGGAGGATCGTTGAGTTGTATCACGTCTGTGAAATGTTATTAAAAGTTACTGTTTATGGGGTTCACTCCCATTCGGAAGTTGCTTTTTCAAATTGCTTTTTAAAAGTAAGGAAAAGGGGGCCGAGATGGGGCAGGGCAGCCGACTCGGGACCCGAAGGTCCTGGGCTCGATCCCCGGTCATTGCACACCTCGTGGCGTCTCTGAGCAGGACACCCAATCCCATATTGCTCCCCGGGTGCCCACAGCCGCCCACCGCTCCACCTGAGTGCATCCAGGTGCAATGGGTTAAATGCCGAGAGCCAATTTCGTCCTTGTATGGGAATGATGACAACACATAGCATTTTATTTATTATCATTATTAAAATAACAATAACATTCTTTATTAAATCTTTTGAAACAACAATCATGTAATCTTTATCTTCAGTTTGTGTTTCTTTGGATCTTAAAATATATATTTATTCTGTCTTATTCCCTGGTGGTGTCACATAGCCTGAAAAGATAATAAGAAAATATATAAATAACTGGGTAAAGTGGATGTGCCCACAGGGAGCTTTACATTGTAATTAAAATCAGTGTTTTACTTATTTATATAGAACTAATTTTAGAAACTCCTCGTTGCCCGGTGCTGTTCTGACCAAAGGAAAACTCCAAACAATGAGGTCTTTGTTAATGTTTGGCCGTAGCTAACACAAGATCAGGAGAGGTTAGGAAAAGCTGACCAACTCTGTCACTCTGCGAAGCCCATTTCCACAGAAAGTGTGCTCCCACCGCTGCTCAGTGTCACGTTTACACCAGCGAGCTTGTGGAAATGGCCTCACGACGCTACAAAAGAGCAGTGAGGGGGAAGTTAAATGGGCTCACACGGTGCAGGAACTACAGGCGTTCTTCGCATTGGGAGGATTTACAAGCTCTTAACTTCATTATCAGATGGTGGTTAAATAGAGATTGCCTCACTCTTGAAAGATTTACTGGAAGTTTTTATCAGATTGTCATCTGTTCTTTTTGCTTGTGAATCAAAACTGTCATTTTGAGCTATTTAGACTCAACTGTTTGTTGAAAAATATCTCATGAATTGCTGGGTGGATTTTAATGACACTTTCAGGAAATAATCACTGGGTATACATACGTCTATGGATTGAAATTAAATGTAGCTCAAGATGGCCACCACAGCTAGGTGGGAGAAAAAAAACTAACTCCTTCAGTTTTACAGATATCAAGTTAAATGCGCATATGGTAATCATTCATATGTACTCTAGATTTATTTTTGGTTTGGGGACTATGGTGTTTGAAGAACACGGAACCAAATGCGAGTCAGATGAACCGTGTTTTAACACATACGACACGCTAAAATGCAAACAGATGTCTTTTGATTTAGATATCTGGGCTCAGTGACTCATCCTGCCTACTTTTGACGACATTAAAGCCTGGATGGCTTCAAATTTCTTAAGTTTTAATGATGAGAAGACTGAAGTCGTTGTCTTTAGCCCTAGCTCAACTGCCGCCACTGATCCTGTCAACCTGGACTCTCTTCAGCCATATCTCAGCAGTCTGGTAAAAATCTCAGGATGGTTTTAGACTCTGACTTCAAGTTTGACAAACAAATTAACTCTGTTCTGCAGAAAAGCTTCTTCCAGCTAAGACAGGTAGCTAAGCTCAGGCCAGTGTTGTCCAGACCCGACCTTGAGAAAATAGTCCACGCCCTTGTCACGACCTGATTGAACTATTGCAATGCACTCTATGCTGGGATCAGCCAGGCCTCCATCTCACGTCTTCAGCTCGTTCAGAATGCTGCTGCTCGGCTTTTGACCAGAACTCGTAGGTCTGAACATATTACACCTGTTCTGTTCTCCCTTCACTTGCTCCCTGTTCGTACTAGGATAGTCTTTAAAATTCTTCTGTTGACCTTCAAATGCCTAAATGGCCTCGCACCCCTTTACCTCTTTGATCTTCTGGAACCATACGTTCCCTCTCGGGCCCTGAGATCATCCGAACAGCTGCTTTTGGCTGTTCCAAAAACAAGACTGAAGCTCAGAGGAGATTGGGCGTTTTCAGTCATGGGCCCCAGACTCTGGAACAACCTGCCCCCCAACATCAGGCAGGCCACCTCCCTTCATCACTTCAAATCTCTGCTAAAAACTCATCTGTTCTCGCAGGCATTTCACACAGTGTAAATTGATCTAGTTTTTTTTATTTTTTATCTGTGACCCTATGTTTTAAATGCTTTTTATTAATTCTTCAGTTATTATTATTAGTGTATTGTATTTTTTCTCTTTAATTTTACTCTCATTGATTGTCGTTGTTGTTGTTGTTGTTGTTGTTGTTGTTGTTGTTGTTGTTAAGCACTTTGATAACAGGTTCTGTTTTAAATGTGCTCTATAAATAAAGTTGACTTGACTTGACTAAAACATGTTGGCATTAATCCATCAGACGCACTGATGGCTACATCGACTGTACAGACATTCTGACCGAGAGTGATCCATGAAAAAGGCAGACCTTTGGGAAGTAAAATGTGCATGAAGATTTACTCTTATCAGGAATTCAGTTTGTTCCAGACATAGGCCTGTTGCGATAAACAATAAATCGAATGATAAATTAAAATCATCAACCTCATTTTCATTTATCAGCTTTATAGTTTCTTCGTGTCTCTTTTTCTACTGGATGACAAAAGGCTCAACTCCGGTACTCTTCACTGACCTCCCCCTTTCTCTTTAAAATCTGTATGCTTTCAATAGCTGCCCACTGCACCACCTGGTGGTGGATGGGTTAAATGCAGAGACTAATTTCGCCATTGTATGGAAACATACAGTGCTGACATTGTGATGACATTATTATTATTATTATTATTATTATTATTAACCGTCCAAAATGGCATTTTTGGATCGTTAAAAGCAGCTAAGCTACGAGCTAAGCTAACAGGCCAACCTCGGGAGGGAAAAACCTCTGTGTTGTCAAAGCTCCAAAATTTACGGTTGAAATGCGTGCCTTAATCAAAAAAGCTGTTTTTCTCTGCAAAAAGACGCTGAGAACTTGTTTACTGCTTTTTTATTTATTTATTTTTTTTATAAAAAGCTTTGTGTGACAAATGCTATGCTAAAGAGCTCAAATCACACTGCGCGTCCACCATTTTGAAAACTGAAAAAACCTAACGAGAGCCCACGTCACGTCAAGGGGCCTCTCGCCCATTTTTCTTAAAGAGACACGCTGCTCGCTCTCTCACTATCCATCCTTTGGTTCAAACAGTCACTTCACTGCCATCCAGTGGTAAAAAAAGGTACTACATTAAAAAAAAATCAACATTTCTTTTTAAATTTGACACTAATTACTAATTATCGTCAAATTTCAAACAATTCTATCGTTTATCACAATAATTTCTGAGACAATTAATCGCCCAGTAAAATTTGTTCTCGTGACAGGCCTATCCAGACATAAACTGTCAGTATACTCTCAATTTCTAACTTGTGCTTTGTTTTTACAAAATAGCTAATTTTGTCTAAATGTGAACTCCTATTTGACATCCGAGCCTAAACTTGGATAGCTTCTCATGTTCATTTTTTAGACCGAATTTAGTATGTTTTTTTTTTCTTCTTTAAAAGCAAAAATGCATAACTGGTTAGAGATCATAGAACAGATTTGAATGTTAGTAATACATTTTGAAGGAGAGCTGTTACATATTTCCATGAAAAATATAATTTTAGGTGCTTTGGGCACTATCTGTTAGAAGTTTACGAGGGTTATACAAATGTAAAAGAACACCATGGCCCACCCAGTGTAAACAGTATCTTTTTTGACCTGAGGACATCTGAGAGGTTGCAAAAGATTCCTGAAGGGAGGAACCACCTTTCTCATGCTACCCTGAGTGTTTAAAGAAGTGTAATTATGCACTGCTGTGTTGTTTTTGTGTTTTAGGAAGTGGAGCGACTGCAGTGGTCCAAGCAGCCTACTGTGTACCACGCAAGGAGAAAGTGGCCATCAAACGCATCAACCTAGAGAAGTGCCAGACGAGTATGGATGAACTCCTGGTAAGCTGTGAAATGCTTCTGGGGGGAGAAAAAAAAAGCACAATATAAAGGACGTGTGAATAATTGACATGGAGTCAAATGCAGCAACTCCATTTGCAGCACAAGATTTTATTTATGGTTTCTGTATTCTTTTCATGTGCCATGAAGTTAGTGTCACTTCTGCTTTTCATTGCCTGTTTTCTCAGGGCTGTCATCCACTCTGTCCTGTCACTTCAAACACTGTTCTTGTTGTTCTCTAAAGGAGACCTCCTCTTGCAGCCAGGAAACTATTAGACCACTGTGGGACATCTTTCTCACTGTAGTGCTGTGTTTTTATTCTCTGGATGCAGTCTTCCTCTGCAGATCATTACCTCAATTACTGTGTGGCATATGAATATCCTGTTTCACATAGAAGTACATAGAAATAATCAGAGACCTGTTTGTGTTTCTTGCTCTAGGGGGTTTGTTTATTTTTGTTGGTTTATTGATAAGCTCTTTAATTTAAATCATGGTCTTTTTATGGCTAATAAATGTGGGAAAAAGATGCATTACTCAGTGTGGCAATTGGTTGGTCTACTTTTTTCCTAGAACACATTAGCATACAAACTTTCCTCATATATTTTAGACCAAACAGGTGATTGATGTGTTTCAACTCCTTAAATGTGCTGTTCCGGAGGTCTGTGAAGGAAACCTGCAGAAAATAAATATTGCATTTTCTCTGAGTCCAAAGTTTCACAGTGAGGATGGATGATGGGCTGACTTTATTTTTTTTTAATGCCATGCGATCTACCCATTATACATTTACAATCAACATTTGCATTTGTATATGGCGATTGGGCACCCCAGGGCTAGTTTTTTTTTTTTTTAAATGTGGAGGATGCGGGCTAATGGAGGATTGTGGCTTTCATTGCATGATTGTGTTGGCTATGACTAATATGTACTCTTAAATATTTAAGCTGTGCAAGTTCCACTACAAGTCAAAAAGCTACTAGGCGGGAATGCTAATTAGTAGCCGTGCTAGTTTTCGAAGAGGGAACAACTGGAAGTGCAGTTTTTGAGAAAAACTGTGGGAAGAGTAATGGTGTCTTGTCTAACTATCTCCTTAGTAAAATCTTCAACTACCATGGATAAATTGGTACATCTTCTTTAAAATGACATTTAGATCTCTCTAGCGGATTCACAGTTACTAATAAATGTTCTATTAGAGAAGCCTTATACACTTATGCATGCTCACAACCACACACAAATAGAAGCAGGGATGTTTATGTAGGCTTTATATGTAGATATATAGATATGTATGTGAGTGTATATTCATGTGTATTTATGTATGTATGTATATAGGCGTAGGTATGGGTATATATATTTATGGAAACTTACTGCAAAGCCATGAATATTTTAAGTTCTTTATACATATGTATTTTGTTGCTGTGTTTTGTCATGTTCTTTGCAGGTGAACAGACAGTGGCCGGGTGTTTTGACGTGTGCTCTATTTGTATATATTTCTTATATTTTGGAGTCTTACTTAGTCTTTTCTTTCTTCCTATCCTATTAAAAAAAAAAAAAAAAAAAAAAAAACCTACACTAGAATGTCACTATAATAAATATTTCATAATAATGGTGTGGAGAGGATGGCTGTAAGGGGAGAAGGGAGGCCATCAGAAAAAAAAAAAAAAAAAAAAAGATCTCTCTAGCGGTATGTTTACATAACTACTGTCAGCTGATGCCACTAACATTTGGTCAAAATTAAGCATATATAAACGTACATAAATAAATGCCAATTTAAGCCTCCAGTATACTCCTGCCTGCGTACGTCTGTACGCGGAGGTACGCTCGTACCTCTGCAGGGCATGTCCGTGCAAAGCTCAATTTTTACAACCCTGTACGCATATGCGGTGTTGCTCAATAAACTGCCCGGCGACAGACTGTTTTGTATTCGACACCAATGTATTAAATTCCCCTTCTTCATCCCTGATCTGGCCTTTGTTTTTGTTTTTTTTTGCCAAGAGGCAAGCGATCTCTTCCTCCTCCATTGATGCCATGACTGAAATGGTGCAAAATGAAGGAATTTGCCACGAGCGAATTAAAATTGGTCCCAGCGTGGCTACGGGAGGGTCTGGAGATTTCCTGTTGGGCTGATCTGATGTGTGGGCTGCAGGGCCAGCGCTCCCTAGTTTTTTTTAAATTTTTTTAAATAGAACTTTTTATTAACAACATATAAAAACACAGAACACCACCGCAGCTGGGGCTGCCAGCTCTCGTTTTTTTTTTTTTTCCCCGACCTGTCAATCACTCCAGTAGGCACGTCAACAAATGACCAATCGGCGACCTCGATTTGTCCCGAAGGTAAACGCCCCTTGTCTGCGGAGCTGCTCTGCAGCCGCTCAGGGTGGACGCTCAAGTATGAAGTCTCAACCCTCCGCGTACGTACGCGGACATACACGGGAATATACTGGGGGCTTTACTTACTTGTGTTTCTGTTGTCTGAAAAGACGTCGTCTTAGCACCCTGCCGAAACTGCCATCTGCTTGTTTGGTGCATGCACATTCAGAGTATGTCACAACAGATACACCCCCTACATGCTGACATGTGTTACTTAAAATGCAAACCGTGAAGACTCTATCACAAATACATACCCTGAGTGTTAATGAGTTCAACATAAACGCTACACTAACACTACAAAATAACTGACACTAATAGGAGTACACTGACCAACATCGGAAGTGTATGTAGCTCTTAATGAACTCCACAGTGTAAAAAACAAACCCCTACATACTCTAACTCTGAAAAAGTAACACTTTTGAATTTGCTGTGAAAGATCATGGCCAGAGAAAACTGGCAGCTTGCGCACTACTTACTCACTGGCAATAATATACCTTTCCCCACCTCCTGAAATCTGCAAGATGAATCAGGATTCAACAGATTTTCTGTTCAAGAGGTCATGTGAAATGCTCCACGACTGGATTTCCTGCATTCGGTTTCCTCCCATAATCCCTCAACCTGCTGGGTGCCGACATAAATGGCTAGGAAGCATTAAATTAAAGCCAGGTTGCCTCTCGAAAATGTCATTCTGAAACTTGGCTGCAACAAGTTATAAATGAGTTTGAAGATCTTTAAACTTGTCTGTAGGAGCCTTGGTTGCCAGAAAATGAATCTTCACATATCCAGGTCACAGTATTGTTTAATCTGGGAACAGGAGTATACAGTGCATTTTTCAGAGACTAAATAGTCAATAGATCAAATGTTTTGGAGACTTTTCTAAAAATCAAGTCTGACGTATTATAAATATTGTCTTGCAGTATTGCAAGACAATATGGGGTAGAGGCAGGGCAGCCGACTCGGGACACGAAAGTCCCAGGTTCGATTTCCAGTCATTGCACATCTCGTGTTGTCTCTGAGCAGTACACCCTATCCCCAATTGCTCCCCAGGCACTTTCAATAGCTGCTCACTGCTCCACCTGGGGGTGGATGAGTTAAATGCAGAGAGACAATTTCGCCATTGTATGGGACATACAATGATGACAACACATAACACATTATTATTAGTAGTATTATTAGTAACAGTCATAACTTAAATATTAATGTAATACTTATTTTTATTATAATTCTGCAGCAGTTGTCATTGCATACTATATTTTGAAGATAAACCTTTTGGTTTTTTTTCTTGTTTGTGCATGCTGCAGTGGGATTGAGTCACTATGTGTACATTTGTGTGTGTGTGTGTGTGTGTGTGATGCTCTGAGCACCCAACAGTGATGTAACTTTGCTTTTATAGAGGCCTCTCTGTGTGTGTGCCATCCTTGCGATTCAGCGGCACAAGTGTGTGAACTAGTGCTCTATTCAATTTGTTACAATAGGCCTTTTATTTTATTTTTTAGCTCAGTTCTCAGACATGGCCATTTTGAAATAGATCAGACCTCCTTTTAAAAATACAAGTGGTAAGAACTGATCCACTTTATTAAAAACTTTTGTTTGTGGGCTAAATGGATTCAAAGAGCTTTGCAGTATAAGGGTGCAACATTTATTCAAATTCAGTGTCTTATTTTAATAAATTAATGTGTTTTAGTTTTTCAAGAGAAGGGGCATACTGGTTCATATTAGAAGTACATCAAGTAATTTCTTTTTTTTTATTATTATTGAACACTCAGAACCAATAGTCTCTCCATTCCTGATAAGTAAAATGAACAGTGACAATGAACAGCACTAGGATTAAAAAATAAATAAAAACACTGTTAAAGAGTTGGGACAAAACTAATAGTACTTAAAATATGGTAGAAGAAGGAGTTTTATCTAAAATAAAACTTAGCAGGCCAGCCTTTAATGGGATATTTATTTGCTACAGTAATAAGCAACTTGACATCCTAGTCCAAAAACAGACAGTTGTGGGGTTTGTTGTCTTCCAGAGGAGTAAAATACAACATTTCACCAAGAGAGATGTCAAAGCAAGTAATTCACACCGTGTGGAGGATATGTTGAAAGGGGCAGATGGAATCACAAATATAGCTATGGAAGGATTCATTTCTTTCAGAGTCCATAAAACCATAAATAAAATTGAAATCTGGGGCAAAAGAAAAACGTATTGCTTAAATTGTAAGGTAAGACGTGACACCTGCTACATTGGTCAAGTCTTGTACATCAGACTTTGAAAAAAACAAACAGTATCAATTGTAATCTAATGCAAGGTTTAAAGCATATACGAAGTTCAGATTTATCTCAGTTGTTTTGTCAGCTCAATACCAAGCTCCCCAGCTCGTCTACTTTTGATTACAGAACAATACTCGAGCTGTACGTGCACTGTATGTTCAGCCACCAGTGATTTCTGATTAGGTCCGAGGGTCAGAAGGTCATAGTTGATCAATAAGGAGTGTGGGGAAACCCAAAAATGAGAAAAGGCTCTGTCTAATTTGAAAGTAAGGAAATAAATGAGAAGCAAGTAAATCTAAATTTGATGCAGAGGTTTAAAACTTGTGAAAACACTATTTGTTGAGTTCTCTGATCATTTTAGCGCTTCAGTCATGCAACAC